GCGCACCATGGACGTACATCTTAAGAGGCATGCTCTTCGCTTCTCTTTCCATCGGCTTCGAGCAGAAGCTGCATTCGCAAGCATTGCGTTCACCTTTTATGACGGTCTCTCCCCATGCAATGCTCACGCTGTCCGTCAAACGACAAAGCTGCCCGACCTTGGAGGGCCCGACCTTGGCGCTCCCGAGTGGACTGGTCAAGGCAGCGTATTAGGGGCAGCGCCTTGGAGACTATCGCCCAATCCACTGAGGCGGCCAAGGTAAACAGAGCCCTCCAGGCGAAGACCCAGGCGGATGGGGGCAGAGTATTTCGAGTGGGAGACATGATGTACAATCGCCGACCCGCGATGGCCAAGGACGATCCTGGAGGCTGGAATGGCCTCAGTAGGGCCAGCGAAATCAATGAGGAAAGGGGCCAGCCAGTGGCCAAATCTGGAAGCAGAGATAGCGTGGTCAAATTTCGCGATGCGAGATTGACTTTCCCCGCTGAGGTGTTTAAGGCACGAGAATTTGGTAAGGGCAACGTGGCTGTGCGCTACATTATCTGTTGCGTCTCTGCGCTCCCAGCGGGGAAGGCACCTGCCGCGTTTGGCTGTGGTCCTGACCGCAAGAAAGTAAGCGTGTTGCCGCGGTAAATCTGGCATTGCAGTATATTCTTAGAACCCACATGAGGATCGATATTCTCATAGCTATCAGGTTGGCCAGCGACCTTCGCCCCCCGTTCCCCTTGCAAGGTGCTCACCGCATTGCGCTGTTATATTAGAATAGCCATGTTAACCGGGCTTCCTATTCTACACCGGTGCACTTGGCGCTCCAGACATTCTAGGCAGCATTCGTGCTCGGTTGATACAGTGCCTGATCTCTTCCAGGCCTACGTCCTCTTTCGGCGAGGACCCCGAGATTTCCTGACTTAGCCGACCGCCTTCGGGATGGTGACGAACGAGGAAACGCGAACCTCCCTGAGACGTCTATGGGATCCGAGAGAGGTGCTTGCTGGCTCTCTACTGTCGAAGAGGGAGACGGCGAGGAGGAGGACACAATCTTGATGCACAGTTGGTACCAAGAACTGGTCAACTCCGACCGTCAGTACAGCGAAGAGTATTCGTTGACAGAAAAATCTTGGCGTCTCTATGCTGTCCCTCTTGCTCTCGTGCAGGCCGACGCCGCCGTGGTATCGTTCGCGCATGTTAGCTTCGTGGTTCAGGCGGATATGAAGCATTTTGGTGTGCGCATCCATCGCGACGTGCTGTTCTTTCACCAATGGTTGGGTGATCGCACCGTGGCCGTCGATGCGTCGTCGAGAGAATTTCGCTTCGCCAGCGACATGGCCGAAGTTATCGTAGACGGATCGCAGTTGACGGCTACGCATGTTGACGACGTAGCAATTATGCGAGTAGTGTGTGTTTCGGTGGAGAATAAACAGGCTGCGGCAGTAAAAGAGGTCGGTGCACCATCCTAAACAGGTGCCACTCGCTCCCTTGGCCAGGCGTGAGATATTGCAACAGACAAGATTTTTCATTAAAGAATTGCGATTGAAGGCCCAGAACGTGATGGCGTCACGCGTTGCGTCTATTCATGGAGATTCATCAAGAAAGACAACGGCCAGACCGATAATCTCATCCTACGACGACTTGCGTCGAAAGGCTTCATGGATCAGGAAGCCTTGTCGGCGGAGACATTTTCGGGAATGGCCAGACGTACCTCGCAGCGGTTGCTGGCGAGTGAGGCTGCGTGCCATGGAGACTGGATCTTGGTAAGCCTGGATATTGATGAGGCGTTCCCTACATGACTTACTCTTAAGGATCTCGGCGAGACCGCGGGGGGTAATAACGTGCAGTCTGTTTCGCAGTGCCCCCTGGGAGTGCATCGATTCTACGTGCGCAGCCTGGGCTTGCAGACGACGGCGAGGCCTGGCGCTGCCCGAAGCGCCCGAAAGCAGGCACGTGAACCAAAGACGCCCCGCGAGCCTTCTCCCTGGAGCTCACGCGGGCGACCGAACATATTTCCCTTAGATAAGTATATCATGATCCAGAATTCGAGGTGCTACCTGACCCGCTTACTGCCAGACGCGTGGGTGACATCAACGTGCGCGGTAGGGGGGAACATAATGGCTCCTGCGTGCACGAGGTAGAGCAAGTGTTTGGAAATGCAGATTAAGCAAAATGCGTGCGCGCATTGCCGGCAGGCGCGTCAAGACAGACAGCGGCGATCGTGATCGTGACCAAGATGAATCTGTTACACAGCCGCGTCCGATCGTGATCGTTTTATGATTCGCTGTTTTGCCGATCGGCGCGGTCTTCGCACGCCCGGCGCATGTTTCGGGCGGGCGGGGCGCCCCCCCCGCGGGGCGCGCAGCTGCGCGCGGCCGCTTGAAGCGCAGGTCCGGGGCCGGGCCCCCGCCCCCCCCCCCCCCTTCTCCTCACTCTGTCGAGACGCCGGAAAATGGAGGCGCCCGCGTCGCGCGCCCCGATCTCGTCGGAGCTTCACCAGATGCACCGGCGAGTAAGACTGTCGGCGATCAGTTTGTCAGTCTGAGGTGATCTCTCGCCTGCTCGGCACTGGCGCGAGTCTGGATCATGGCATGCACTGCGTCACTACAAAGCATTCAACGACCGACCTCCAGGGGAGGCGACTCAGCGCCGCTCGCGCGTAAACGATGGCGAAGTTGATCTACGCAGCGATTCGGGCTGCCGAACTTTCTGGGGAAGAGGGCGATCAAACGAGGGGCCGTGGATTTCGGGGGCGCGACCTTCTGCGTCGTGGAATCACGAGGATGAAGGGCGAGGTCGCCCATTGCATCGAGAGCCTGTGTGAATCTCATCGCCTCCAGGTTAGATCCAGCCATGCTGCCGCGGCATCAGCTGCAGCCCGCAGCGAGGACGAATGCTACCCGACATCGGTAACGCTGCACGAGCTCATGAAGGGCCCGCTGACCCAATTGGGCTCAAACAGCTTCGTGAACAAGGTGGGCATCAGCCAGCGTCGGGGCGCCCCTTGCGATCTACGCGAATCCTTGTTTCAATCTTTCACCCGCAAGGACCTGAAGACACCCGCCGAGAAGACATTACTGGGCCTTGTAAATTGGATCAGCGAATTTTCGGAACTAGGCATTCCACAGAATTTCAAATCGCGAGACAGCCGCGATGCGACTGCAGGTGGTCTTACCGAAAGTTCTATCTATCAGGATGTGTCGTTGCAAGCTATGAACGGATACCAGGGCCGCGCGCGCGCGAAGTTAAGACGCGTGCGCTATATCGCGGCAAACCTCCGAATTCCAATGCGTGGCTCCGCCGGTGTTCAAGCGCCTTATTGGCCCTTCGTGACCAATGGGACTGTGCAGCGTGCAGCCGCTGTCAACGGTTGCGTGAGATGAGAGGAGGGGCTCTCTTTCTGGCCCCGCCCAAAGCTGTCGTGGATTCGCGACGGCCCAGAGTGAGCGCGCGCCCACGTTCCTCTTGCCTCATTCTTGTTCTGGGCGTGCGACTGCCAGGAAGCGAGCTTGTTTCCGCGCTCTTTCAGCCAGGTTTTTTCCCCGAGTGATGATCTGGTTGATAGGTGTTGCTTTGCGCTTCCTGGTCACGCGGATGCTAATAATGATTTTGCCGACGTGGAGTCAGCCCCATCGGCGCTCTTCAGATCTTTCTGGGCTGCATCTGGGCTGTGTCAGCATAGGCTGCATTTGATCGGCGTACCTTTTCTCATTTACACTTCGGTCATGTAGGTGCTAAGTGGAACTGGTTCATGGACCCAGTACATTGAACTTCCGTTTTGGCTTCCTGGCCTTTGCCTTACTGCAGGTGAAATGGCCGTGCCAGGCGGCTACTGACATGTTGCGGTTGGCTTGAACTTACTACATGACCGCAGCGGTCACGCTTCGACCCCCCCCCATCGATTTTGAGGGTGTGCCCCAAGGGGGGAACGTAAGTTTGCCTGGTGCCGCTGTCGTCTTGGTTTAAGGCAGTGCCTTCATATCTGCTAAGGTAGGCGGCGTTGCCTGCTCTTGGCGTGCGGTGTTGGCAGGAGAAAGGGCCCTTTCCTCCTCCATCACCATCCGCTTGCCCGACATCCCTGTACCATGTATTTGGCCATTGCCAGTCATGGCTTGGAGCTACTTGTTCAAACTGCCAGCAGGATCGGCGGATACCCCATTGGGAAACTGTAGAAGAGTCCAACTCTTAGAATATCGGACGCGCCAGCACCCCTTTGATGAATCAACAGGTGGCGGTCCCGCCACCGTGCTTGGGTCGCGGGCGAGAGGCGTCGTGCAGGCTTCTTATGGTTCTTCGGAAAGCCTCACGGGGCATCTTGGAGGCAGGCTAGGAGCCTCCAGGGGCATCTTAGTAACCTTTTCGGACATGTTTCGGATGTCGTGGGGGTTTGTGCAGGCTTCTTGGATGCCTCTTGGGGCCTGCTGGCGGTTTCGGGGGTCACTTCAGGGGGTACGCTCGGAATGTCAGTTCCGCTTCCCCAGATGGGGCCTCTTTCAGGACCCTCTGGGGGCTTCCGCGGGCGCGTCCTGGGCCGTTTCGGGGCCACATTGGGCTATCTTGAGGTTTTCTGTTGGGTTTTGGGTCATGTTTCAGTGATCTTGGGTGTCTCTTTGGCCGTCTTGGAACCTTGGATGCCCGAGAAGGAGGGAACGCTACAATCGTGCCCGAACCAACCGGAAGTCAATGATCTTGGCTTCTTGGGGCCCCCTGGGGGTGGCGCATTTTTGGGCGTCATCCTGGGGTCCCCGTGGGTTCGCCTTCTGGGGGCCTCTTGGGTCGTCTTGAGGCCATGTTTGGCCGCTTTGAGGCTCTCTGAGGCCCTATTAGACGTTCTTGGGCCCCTCTCGGACCCCACTTGGACCATCTTGGCGCTCTCTGGCGGGGGAGCCTGGCAGCTCTCCTATTCAGGAAAATTTGGGGTGGGGCCTTCAAGAAGCTTGCAACCCCAACTCCTGCAGCCCCTTCAGACTTATAGCTGCGTGAGCCTTGGGGCACTCAACTTCGTGCTGAAGGCACGGTGGCGGATTTCACGCTTCCAGAGGGGATTGCGATCCGGCCCACTTGGGAGGCCATGTGCATGATCGCATTGTGGTGCATTGTGCAGGCTCTGGGCGAGCTCTTTTTGCCTTCGTCCTTCCCCACTTATTTCGGAGAGCGGGATGGAGTTCCGCAGAAGCACGGTCACAAACTGCGCTACCAGATGAACGGGATGTTGAGCTTTCTGCTGACGCACGTGGGCTTTTTCGTGTTGTGTTATTTTGGGGCGCCAAACCCATTCTACTACCTTCTGGCTGGCTCGACTGGAGGTTCTGGCAACGCCCTCCTCTCGGCCTGGTTTGATCTGATCGGGCTGACAAAGTCGAACCCGCTGCTGGTCAACTCGCTCCTCACAAACAGCTGGCTGTTCTTGGACCCGGCCTACATTTGGTCCCAGATGGGGGCTTTGCTTACTGGAGGTGTGATCACGGCCTTCATTTTCGCCGCGTACTTGTACATCGACTTTGGGCTTTTCTGGAGGAACCACACGATGGATCCTGAATTCGAGGAGGACTGGGGCGTCTTCACAGTAAGGGAGGTCTTCAACGACTTCTTCATGGGCGTCGCGCGCAACCCCCGCGTGTTCCACAAGCCAATGCGCCTCCTCTCGAAGGTGCACGCGGCGATCGCCGGCAAGCCCGACGGCGACCCGGATTGCCAGTGGCTCCCCCTCGACCTGAAGCGCTGGTGGGATGGGCGCACTCTCACCCTCTGGGTCATCAGGGGCAACGCCAGGAGGGGATAGGCTCAGTGGGGGATGCATCGACTCCAATCGCCCATTCATCGTCCGCAGGGGCCCAAGAGCTCACCCCGCCAAGGAACAGCGGGATTCGCCATCGGGGCCTGCCTTCGATCAGCTGGCGATGGCATCGCCGAGTCCAGCTCGATGCCTCCCCCCCTCCTCCCGCGAGTCGGTGCCCCCCTGACTCGGCGGTGAGCGAGGGGGGGAAGCGAAAAGGGGCTGACCTCCTCAGAAGGCTAGGAAGCCCCCCTACCTTCTGAGAAGTTCTCCAAATTTTCCCCGAAGACACAGAACACCTCTCAGAAGGCAGGAGGGCTTCTGAGAAGTCCCGCCCCGCCGCCTTCTTGGAGTGCCTTCTCCTTCTCACTTCCCCCCGTCGCTCGCCGCCGACTGACGTTGTCCCACAGGTCATCCTCAACATCTCCTACGTCGCAGCGCAGTACTACGGATGCTCGTTCGGGTTCGAGTACAACAGCGACAGCGCCTCCCCGTCCCTCATCACCGCCCAGCCGAGTTGCGCGCACTGGCGCCCGGCGACGACCTCTGGCCCCTTCGCGAGCGGCCTCGGAGGGCAGGGCGTGACTGCAGGCACGTACTTCAGCGACTACCTGCCCGGAGTGGGCAGCTGGAGCGGCATCGGTTTTCCAGACCTTCCAAGTGGGGTCCGAGTGGATGGGGTCGGAGGATCGCGCCGCATCGCCGATGCGCCTCGATGTGGAGCCAGATTTCCTCCACGCCGACGTCGCCGATGCATGGCCAGCGTCGCCGACGCATCACCGATGCTTCGTCGATGCATCTGCGATGCAGCGCGATCCTCCGACTTCATCTGCTCGGACCCCATTTGGGAGGGCTCCAGGTTTCTCCTCGATATTCATCACGCTCGCCCACTGGTACTACGTGTTTGACTACAACCTAGTGGAGCCGGCCTACCTCACCACGACGGACATCCGCCACGATCTCTTCGGCTTCATGCTCACGTACGGCATGTTTGGGTTCCTCTGCTGGTACTACCCCCTCGCGTTTCTGGGGTTCTTGAGTGCTCAGTCCAACGACATCAAGATCAATAGCTCGTCGATCGGGCCAGCGTTCGGCTCGAACCTCACGGGCGACAACGGGTTCATAACCGACAACCACGTGCACACGATTATCGGGGTCGTTCTGTACATTATCGGCATGTGCTTCTTCAGGTATACCAATATCGAGAAGCACAATTTCAGAACCTTTATCGCAGACCGGAGAGACGAACGGGACGCAGAGACCGGCGAGAGGAGGTACACGGACGCCCAGATCGACCAGCTCCTCGACACTGAGTACAAGATCTGGCCGCAGTCCATCGAGATCCCGGTCGTCGAAATGAATGAGCGGCATAAACATACGTTTCGGAGGTCCGCGGATTTCTTGGATCGGCGTTGGGCCCCCCCTGGCGGCTTCCAGCGCCGCTCTACGAAATCCGCGCGGATCTCTGATGGTTTATGCTTACGGAGCTTTTCGTCTTCTAGGTCGTCAACGTGTCCATTCCTGTGTGGTCGAGCGTGAACGGCGGCCGAGTGGACTACATTCGTACGGAGGAGGGGAGCTACCTGCTGTGCGGGGGCACGTGGGGCATCGCGCGCCATTTCAATTACATCGGGGACATGGTCATGTGCGTCGGGTGGGCGTGGTCGTGCTACTCGTACAAGCATGCCTTCCCAATCGTTCCGATCAGCTACTGCGCCTACTTCTGGGTGATGGACGTCCACAGGCTGTTTCGTGACGAGGGGCGCTGCGCCATCAAGTACAAGAGGGACTGGGAGCGCTACTGCGAGAAGGTGCCTTGGCGGATCGTGCCCGGGGTGTTCTAGGTGGCCTGATCACGTGGGAGTGGTTGAATTCGTGCAAGTACGTGCCCGAATGGCTGAATCCTCGCAAGTGCGCTCTGAGCCGTGCAAGCTTGCCTCGTTGCGATTTCGCCAGAGGTGGCAGCTACGATGTAACCAGTTGCAGAGACCGTGCACCGCGCTCGAACGTGCCTGTCGTGTGGTGGCTCTGAGGATGCTCGAGAGGGGCCAGCAGAGAGTTGGCCCAGGAAGTTCGGCCGCAGGCCAAAGCGCGCCGTTGCTGCACGTCCTGGATCATACTCGCGGAACGAGCTGTGACATACGCAGCATCTTCCGGAGGTCCGCGCGGATCTCCCTTGTCGGCGCTGGACCCCCGTGGCGGCGCCTCCGGCGCTGTCCCCGCTCAGCGCGCTACCGGCGGGTGGTCCAGCGTCGGCCGGAGAAGGTCGCGCGGACCCTCGAGTGTTTTCTGGTCGTGCTGTAGTCTGTTCCTCTTTTTCTGCTGCTGTACCGGCGATGTCAAGGTATCCAGCTGCCTGCGGCAAATCCCGCCACCGTGCCAGCCCAGTGTTCTCGGTTAGCTGCTCGAACCGATGCGTTTGATGATGACGATTATGACGGAGAGAGGATGAGAATGAGGACGAGGATGATGAGGAGGAGGACGAGGAGGAGGAGGAGGAGTGTGGCGGACGATGGGAATGAACTCTATGCTGTTGTTGATGATGATGACGATGCTGCTGCTACTGATGATGAGCAGAAGGAGGACGAGGAGGAGGATGAGGATGCTATTGCTGTTGCTGTTGCTGTTGCTGCTGCTTATGCATGCTGCTGCTGATGATGATGATGGTGATGATGCTGATGATACTGGTGGTGGTGGTGGTGATGATGATGATGATGATGATGATGATGCTGATGATGGCGATCATGGTTGGTGGTGATGATTGTCAGTGATACTAGATCGTGATGTTTGATGGTGATGGTTATTGTGAGAGTGAATCTGATGGTTATGAGGACGACGAAGAAGAGAGCCGTTACATGTGACACCTTTCCTCAGCACGTCTCGAGGGGCCCTCATCGACCTCATTTAGGCCGTCTTGGGGCTGTCCTGGGTTTCAGTGGGGCAGTTTCTGGGGCCGTCTGAGGCCGTCTTGGGGCCGTCTTCAGGCCCTCTTGGAGCCTTCGTGGCCGTCTGGGGGGTCGTGGGGCCGTCTTGGGCCGTTCAGGGGTTGTCTTGTGCCGTCTTGGGTCTCTCGGGGCCCTTTTGGACCACTTTGAGGCACTTCTGGGTCCGTCCTTCAGGCATCGAGAGAACGCCCACCCAGGCTAGTCGACTGAGGATGTTGCATGGTGCTTCACTCGACACTGGCATTCAAGAATAACATGCCTTTCGCCTGATACACTCGGCTGCTTGTGGACGTCGGTTAGCTAATTGTCCCGCCGGGGTCCACTCGATGAACGGCGACGTGCGCACGTGGAGTGCCCCTGACAGCTTTCTCAAAAAGGCGTTTTGCTAAAGGGTGCTCTGTCAGTCTTCGAGTCCTCGGCTGTCCGGGGGGCCTCTTGGGCTGTTTTGTGGCCGTCATGGAGGCCTCTTGGACGATCTTGAGGCCCTTTCGGGCCGTCGTGGGGCCATCTTGGGGGCCTGGGCCGTTTTGAGCCGACGGCAGCCCGAACAGGCGAGAATACAAAAATCCTTCAAAGACCAATGGGAAATTTATGATTTTAACCTCTTCGGGCCTTGCTGGAGGTTCTCTTGGTGCCCTCTTGGGCGTCTTGGAGACCTCTTGGGCTGTTTTGAGGCAATCTTGGGGTCACATGAGGTCGTCTTGTAGGCATCTTGGGCCATCTTGGCGGCCTTTGTGGCCTGCTGGGGCCGTCTCGTAAGCCCCGGAGAGCGCCAGGATGGCGTCTTGCAGCCCAGGTAGCCTTGGAGAGGATGGGGACGATGCATGCACACGGATGCTAGTGGAGGGAGGGGATCCTCCAGAAGATTGCAGAAGCCCCGCCAGACAGCATTTGAACGAAGCCAAAATGCGGGGTCGTTGGCGCCGACATTCGCGCGTAAGCTCCCCGCGTAAGGTCGCGAGTCATCGCCCTTGTGTCCAATGCAGCGTTCCGCGCTGGTGGCCCGCGTAAGCTCTCGTCGCTCATGTGGAGTTCTACCGCGCTTCCACGTGCCACTGGGGGCACGGTGGCGGCGTCGGGGCTGCTGGGGACGGGGCTGGCGAGAGGTAGCCAGGCAGGCTCGGCGGCGCGCAGGGGGGGGGGGCGGATCGAGGGTGGGGCCTTCCGAGATGGCACCGTGCGATACCAGCCGTGTGCCAGACCAGCTCTCTTCGGGGGCGGCAAAGAGGGGGGTGATGACTTGGGGGTGGTGGTGGATATCATGGCGGGGGCCATGATATCTCTCCAGATTTCATGGCGCCTCTTCTTATTTCAATGCGTACCTGGCCCCCCCCCTGGGCCGCGCACATGCGGCCAGCCATGATTTGCGCCCTTTCCTCTTCGACGCCCCCCTCTTGGCCGCCCCCGATCTCTGCTCGGCGGCGAGCGAGGGGCGGAAGTGAGAAGGAGAGGGCCTTCCCAGAAGGCGGCGGGGCTTCTTAGAAACGCTCGGGCCTTTTGAGAGGTGTTCTATGTCTTCGGGGAAGGCTTCGAAGACTTCTCCGGAGGCCAGGGGACTTCCGAGCCTTCTGAGGAGGCCCGCCCCTTCTCACTTTCCCCCTGGGCTCGCCGCTGGTCTGCGACCCGAAAACTATGCCCCCTTGCGTTGTGAAAAGATCACGGCCAGAGTTTTTTCACAGTTTTCGGTCTCTGGGAGCCCTCGCCAGGCCCCATGGTCGCCAGAAACCGACTCAGGGTAAAGCGCTGGTCCCGTGGAACGGGTCGAGACCTCAGGTGGTCGACGCTCTGCAGCACAGATCTTGAACTCGAGGGTCTGGGATCAGAGGAGGAGGAGGCACCGCTGCTCGTCTCGGAGGGTTCTCGTCACCACGGCCGGATTCTCCTTGGAACTCTGGGCAGAACACACCCAGGGAGAGGATCGAGGGTCTCGGCTGAAGAAACACGATGACCATGACCAAGATGGCGCGGGATCTTGTCGACGCCGATCTTGGAATATGGTCCATGCTGGCCGTCGCCGATTTTCGTAAGGACAATCCACGAATCGACGGTGGCCAAGATCGGCGATGACCAAGATCGGCACCGACGTTTCCGTCTTCGATCTTAGTCACGGTCCTCGCTTTCTTTCCTTCCAAGCTCGGTGCACGCTGCCAGCCGCGCGCGCGGGAACACGCGTGAGCTTGCTTCGAGCTGGTACGGTGCACGGCTGGCGTCGTTCCAGGGGCAGCTTGCGCTCTGGGAGGTCATTCGCGCCTTCTGAGGAGTCCTCCCGGAATTTCGTACAAGAATCGCCGGGAGTCCGCGGACGAATTCTGTACACCGTACCGCGTTGGCGCCCCCCAAGGCGTCGTTGATCCTTGGCTCAAGAAGAGTCGGGAATGGTTTGGTGCATATATGTTCGTCCTCCAGAGCCGAAAACTGTGCACCGTACCACGTCGGAGCGGGGCCTGAAGGGAGTCCAAACATGGTCTGGTGCATGGGGCGCCGTTCTCGTACACGAGGAAAGCGAGGCCCTGCGGGAACTGGAAAAGCGAAAGTGGCATATACAGAAACCTTCGGAGCTCCGCGCAGATTTCTCGGATCGGCGCTGGAACCCTCCTGGTGGCGCCTCCAGCGCCGCCCCCTGGCGCGCTCCGCGCGCCACGGGGCCCAGCACCGGTCCGCGCGGAGATTCGAACGTTCCTATTGATGCCGTTTCTTCTTCTTGTTGTTGTTGTCGTTGTTGTTGTAATTGTTGTAGTTGTTGTTCTTGTTCTTGAGCTCTCATTGCTGAAGAATAATCATTGTTGATCCCCCCAGTGACCACTGGTTTTCATGATTCATAAACTCTTTTATGCTGCAGGAAAACCTTGAGGAGCAGCCCCACGTGTGTTCGCCTCCACTCCTCAATTCCTGCACGCTCAATGCCTGCGCAGCGGGCTGCGGTGTCGGCGGCCGGCGGTTTTCTGCGCGAAGCGGCGGAAGTATGCTCACCTTGCTCTGTTCGTGTGTACTCTGGTGCGGTCTCGCATGGCGGTTCGCCCGCGCTGCTCGGGTCTCGTCTGCTGGGCCGATCGTGTCTCGCAGTTCTTCTGTTGCTGCTGCCGCGCGCTGGCTCCTTGAAGCCACATCGAGAATGCTCCCTGATAGGAGCAGCGGCAACAAAAAAAACTCGCTGACAGGGGGTGCACAAACAAGACAGGCTCCCTGATAGGAGCGGCGCCTCCGAAGCTCCCTGAAAGGAGCTGCGCCTGCGTGCTCCCTGATAGGAGCTAGCGGTGCCTAGCGCTCCCTGAAAGGAGCTGCGCCTGCGTGCTCCCCGACAGGAGCGGCGCCCTAAAGCTCCCTTTTGCGTGTTCCCTGACAGGAGCAGCGGTCGAAAACTCCTTGACGGGAGCGGCGCCTCAAAGCTCCCTGATAGGAGCGGCGCTTCAAAGCTCCCTGACAGGAGCGGCCCCCCAGAACAGAAGTTCGCCGAAGGGGGCGGCGCCCAATGCTCCCTGAAAGGAGCTGCGCCTGTGTGCTCCTCGACAGGAGCATCTCCGCGATCATCACCGCCCAGCATGGAGTCGCACCCCTCTCGTCGACGCAGTCGTGGGCGACGGCTCCTACGAGGATCGCGTGAGACAGAGTGCGGCCGCCAAGCGCGGAAACGCTTGGATCGATAAGATCGATTACGTGAGCTTCGCGACCTTCATGGGGCATCTCCACGAGTGGGGTTTCAAGGTAATCCTCACGAAGGCGTGCAGCATGGCAGACTTTTTCTCCTACGTGCATATTATGATCCGCATCGCTGAGGAGAACGGCTGGGTCAGGACGGCGTTTCAATACGACGTCCTTCAGCGGAGGGCCATGGCCAAAGCGCTCGAGAGGGACGAGACCGATTTGAGCAGGTACCTTACAGGGATCGATGTAGATCTCCTGCGCACGGCCAAAGACAAGGTGGATAAGCGCTTCGCGGAGCTCGCTCGTGCATCTGGCGCGCCCAAGGGTCAGTCCAAGGGCCAGCCCAAGGGTGCCTCCAAGAGCTGCGGCGACGGGAGCAGTCATGCCTCCAGCAGCGCATCCTCCGGCGGCAAGGGCGGCAAAGGCGCTAAGGGCGACAACCGGCGCGTGCGTTCGCCGCCCGCGCGGCACAAGGGCAGCGCTGGTGGCGGCCAGCAGCATCGGTCCCGCAGCCCGCGCGCTGGATGGCAGCAGTCCGGCCAGTGGGACAAGCAGTCTTGGAGTAAGTGAGCGGTCGCGCCGCTCGCTGACAGTGCCGACGGTCAGCAGTCGGAGAGCGAGTCAGGGGACGATGCGCCCATGGAGCGCTCTTCGGCTGGTCCCAGCGTTGATTTTAAGCATTCTAAAGCTGGGCTGTCACATGTCAGTGCGCGTGTACATAGCTTTCTCGCTCGCGATGATTTGCGTCGCCTAGATCCGTGGGATCGCTTGGAGTGGGCGTCGGCCTTGCCTGTTTGCGCAGAAGTTCCTCTTTTGCCGCGCTTTTTTGAAAAAGGCTGCGACCGCGTGACAAGATTGACCCCTGCGGAATTGCACTCGGCTCGTAAATCGGCGCTTGCTTACTGGTCGGAGAGGAAGCGAGTGACGGAACCCTGCTGGCAACGCGCGTTCGCGCAGCTGCCAGCGCACTGCCAAGGTGTCTTAGGGCCCCGGAAAAATCTTTTTCTCCTTAGCGAGATGCTTGAGTCCATCAGCTGGCCAGACGCCACGCTGATTAGCAATTTAATGCGCGGTTTTCCTCTTGTCGGCTTGCCCCCAGCGAGCGGGATGCGCGTTCCGACGGGGGGCGCAGCGCCGGAGGTAACCAAAGCTGCTCTACTGGCCACTGCGAGCGTTCAGAACAGACGCATTTTGCGGCGATCGTCTTTGCCACTCGGGATGGACAGATCTGTCTGCGAAGTTTTTGCTTCTGCATGCGACAGGGAGGTCGCGGGCGGCAAGGCTAGAATGCGTCCACTGAACATAGAAACCCGTGTTTTAACGCCGAGATTCCCAATCGTGCAAGGTTGGAAGACCGTGGGCTGGGAAACGTTTCCCAAAGTTAGATGCGTCGATGATTTTTCTGCGTCGCGTATCAATGAAGGCGCGCAAGTATCCGAGAAGATGCTTCCCGACACGCAAGACTCACTTGTAGCGCTGGTGTTGAAGATCACGAAATCAAGAACAATGCGCATTCGTTGGCGCAAAGATGATTTTGTGCAAGCCTTCAAAACACTACCAATATGCAGCTCTCACCTTCCATTGGCAGTTGTCGTGTGGCCGGAGGCGTTGGCTAAAGACCAGTGTCTCCAGCTCCTGGCAATGCCCTTTGGCTCTTCCGCCTCCGTGTCCGCCTGGGAGCGGTTCGGCAGGGCAATTCAGGGTGTGCTTGCGCAGATTTT